AGAACAGGATCCTAAAAATTATTTAACATTAGTCATCAGTGGCAGCTGTAAGTGTGGGAGCAGACAGGGCTCAAAGGGAGCAGAGTAGAGCACCTGTTTATGGCTTCTTGTATCACTGCTAGCTGGATGGGTAAGAGTTGCCTGTCCCCTCCTTACGCAGGTGACTGTAACCCTAGCCCAATCAACCCAAATTATCCTCAGCTGTATAATTTCTTCAATAATGATCTTAAACAATACTGATCATTTCATTTATTTCTCTCTTTCATATGCAAACTCTTGTGCTCTCTCTTTCTCCTTTCCCTCTCCATTCTTTCCATCTCCCCAAAGCACTGCATGCTAGCAGCTCAGGGAAATGCAGACAGCTATTAGGCAAAAACAAAACAAGGCAATTAAGATCAACTTTATTGCTGAGTCCACACAAGGAGAAAAAAATGATGTGATAATAAAGGAATGAAAGAAATTCTGTTAGCTAGAATTCTAACAAAGTTGAGCAAAAGCAGATTTCCCCAAAACAGGGAATATTTAAAAGTGATGAAGGATCAGACATACCACAGAGCAGAATAATATTTACATAAACAGAAAATAGCTTTAAGATCATGATGAAGTGGCCATGGTTCAGTTAAAATCAGTGAATTTTATGAATCTGGAGTAGATAATGCCAACTCGATGTTTCTCCTAAGTTCAGCTTCACAGGTAAAGAATATTTAACAATGGAAAGTTGTTGAAGTCGTAACAAATTAATATGTACTTTTTAAAAAATTATTTATTTATGCATACAGAACTGGAGTACAGGCGAGAGGTGCAGGGGCAGTGAGAAGATTCACCAGAGACAGAGTGAGGAGCAGAACAGGCAGATGTACTGAAATACACTGCTGAGCGGAGCTGCGTGCGGGTCAGGAGAGGTCTGCTGTGCCATGTGGTTCACCTCTGGGGTGGGGATAGAACTCAGGCTGAAGTGGCTTTAGCTTCTTAGTGCTGTGCTTAGGGCCCTAATACGTACTTTTAAGGACTAAGAGTTTTACCTCCCTTAAAATTATTACTAATTGAATATCTACAAAATATTAAGCACTTACAAGACCCATGATAGTTAACCATTTGAAGCTACAGCTTAACTACCAGAGTCCAAAAGTCAACACTAACCTGAGGAAGTATTGTAATGTCAATCAAAGAATTATAATATGTCCACCAAAGTAAAACTTAACTTTGCATAAAAACCATGATTTTGCCTATGTTTTTTAACTTACCTTTTTTATTATAATTTTATATTATAACAGACTGATGGTTTCTAATGTGGACTTTTTCTTTTTTCTTTACTTTTTTTGGCCTATATTTTAAATCCTTTAACAATGAATTAACTATAAAATACAGTGGATATCATGGAAATCTAGTATGTTAACACTTAAGCTTTTCTCAGTTGCAAAATTTTAAGCATAGTCATTGAAGAAGTTGGTAGTTCCTGAAAGTTATTAACTTGCCAAAAATATATTCATGAATATATTTCCAGCTGCTCTTTCCTCCTGGGGCATTGTGTAAAGTACTGTCTCAAAGAATAGAAACTTCATTTCAGAAATGGTTAGTATCTTTGTCTCAACTACTTTTGTTAATTACACTTTCAATAAAATAGATGGTACATTTTCATAGTGGGCTAAAAACCTACATTTGACAAATGATTTTCTAATCTGAATGTTGATTTTCCAGTCAGCATCGATAGTAATCACAAAAATATTACATACATCTGTTGTTTTTGCATAGTTATCTTCTTTGGTGTATGTCAGCTGAAAGATATGATTTATCTTTTTTACTAACTTGATTCCAAAATATGCATATACCTTAATGAAGCTGAAACCAGGAATCAAATATACAAACTAAACACTTAGTCACCGACATAATTTTAATTCACTAGTAGAGGGTGGAGTAAGGAAGGTTATATCAGTGTTCAGATAGAGTCTGAATTTTAAAGCTCCAAATTAAACCTATCTTTAATACCGTTAGTGTTTATGAAATTGCTGGCTTTACAAAGCAGTTTTCTTCTTCACTTGGGATCAAATGAATCCCCTTATAGTCTGAGTAAAATCAAGTTGCACAAAAAAAAATCCTTTATACTCAGCAGTCATTCAAATGCTTTAAAATCACTTTTCATAGCTTGTACCATGCCATGGAAATAGTACTCCAGCAAAAAATAATATTGTCCAAAAGTGAACAGAGCAACTTAGGTTGAAATAATTTGTGCTCTGTGTCATTTACAAATCCACATTGTTATATATAGTTCTTAAAATGAATGCATAATGCATGTAGCATCTCATGCATTAAATATTCTATTAGGTAACTTTTTATCTAGTTGCAATTAGTTAATATTAGCAGATTAAAAAAAAGAAAAACATGAAAACTATATCCTCCCAACCACTAGTCTGACCAAACCAACAGGAATCTTTAGGAAGGAAAGAGAATGCAGATAAACAAAAACAGAAAAGATAAAAAATTGGGAAAAGATCCAGATAAGATAAAGATAATTGGAAAAGGAGATGTTAACTCTTCCAAGTTGCAAGTGAAGTTAAAGTGTGAAGCCTGTACCATTTTCAACACTTTAAGACAGATATATAAGTTCTCCTTCTTGAGAATGTGATTCTCCAAATTTTCTTTTCTGATTCTTCTCAAGGTTCCCATATCACCACAACTTAACATGGTCTATAAGAGGAGTCTGTTAAAGTTTTGTAAAAGTATTTTGCAAATATCAAATAGAAACATATTAATCATTTAAATCAAAGCTAACAGATTTCTTCCTTACCCCCAATTCAACAATGTACAGTTCTGGATGCCAAGAAAAATAAAACAGGTAAATAATTCAATATAGCAATTCCTTCTTCTCAGAATGGGAGGAGTAATACAGCAGGCAGTTATCACTATAACAACTAGCTATCTTTTTTTAAGATCAGAGAATTTGGGTGAATTTCACATGATATACAAATCCAGAAAAACAAGAAAAGAACTAAATCAGGATGAAAAAGAAAACAAAATGGAAAGAACACAAAAATGCAGTTAATACCTCCTGCTTGACCATATCCAAATAAAAC